GCGTGCTCGTGGTTTCTAGGCCTGCGCGCCAATACTTTTCTATTTTTTGCTTAAGTGTTTTTGTCAGGCCTGCATGCCCTTTTTGGATTTGTAATTGACTACAGGGTTGGTGTCTGCCTTGATAATACAATATTTTGTTGTTTAAGTGTACGCTCGTTTGTGTTTGCATGATGATATGCATGTTTTATTTCTGCACGTTTGTATGCTCGAAAGGTATGTTTATTATGTTGTCTAGTAGTTTTGGGGGAAGTAGCTCGACGATACTTGTGTCCGGTAGTGTAGGGAACTGGCCGGGTGACCGGTGTGGTTACCTGGTCGAAAAAGGAGGGTGTTTATCCCCGCGGCGTGAACGTCCCATCGCGAGCTGGGTGTTCTGCCGAGCGAGGTACAGCGGCGGGGGCTCTCGTTCGAGGGGGTCTCCGTCGAGCAAAGCCTTCTTCCTGCGCACACAAAGGTAGAGGCTTGCTATCTCGTTGGCTTCGGGGAGATGCGACGGTACCGTGTCGTGCTCCTGTGGTCACGGTGTTTGTCATCGCGGGCAGTGTTTAACTGTAGTATTTTTTCAGCTTTTCAGCGTTCCATGGTCGAGCTAGTTGGTCCCCGTGTAAGTTCTCGAGGTAATAGGCCCTGTGCTTCGTCTTGTCCCGAACACGATAGAGGCCTTCCCAATTTGCGGCAAGTTTGACCTTGTGTGAGTCCTTCTGGTTTCTTCGTAAGACCAGGTCGCCGACCTGGAACTCGTGCTTTAGGACTCTACTGTCATAGCGAAGGGTGATGTTTTGTTTTAGCTTGGCCTCGCATAGAGCGACTCCTGAACGGATCTCCTCGACTAGGTCGAGCTCCTCCCGAAGTGTTTTGTCGTTGGTTTCTTCCACGAGGGGCGCTTCAGTCCTTCTGGACGGTTCCCTGATCTCGACTGGGATCACCGCCTCGGTTCCGTACGTGAGGCGGAATGGGGTTTCTCCGGTGGTCGAGTGAGGCGTTGTTCGATACGCCCACAGCACGCTGTGGAGTTCCTTGACCCATCCTCTCTTGGCGTCACCGAGTCTTCGTTTTAATCTGTGGAGGATTACTCTGTTAGTGGCCTCGGCTTGGCCATTTTTTTGTGGATGTTCGACCGAGGTGAAACGGTGTTTGGTCCCGAGTTTGGTGACGAAGTCCCGGAAGTTTTTGTCGGTGAACTGTGTCTCGTAGAATTTGGAGTCCCGGTGCAAGCCTTGTTCCATTAGGTAACGCTTCATTTCGTCTGAAGTCGTCACCTGCACCGCCTCCCTTGTGAACCTCTCAATGTAGTTCCTGAGGGGTTCGTCGGGGGCCTGGATGATCGCGCCTAGCGCGGCTTCTATCTTCTGGTGGCGCCTGGACGCCGTGAAGTGCCGTGAAAAGAGGTCCTTCAGGACCCTCCACGATGTGACGGACTCCGGCTCCAAGATCTTGTACCACGTCATAGCGCCTTTCCGCAGGGTCGTCGGGAAGAGCCTGCATTTGATGGCTCCTCGGACGTTGCGACAATCGAGCATAGCCTCGATATCCTCTAGGTGGTCATCTAGGTCTGAGGTGTCGTCGTACGTCGAGAGCACTGGTGGTTTTTCCATCCCGTAGGGGATGGAAGCTGCCATGATCTATCGAGACAAAGGGGTCCTGTAGTCATCCTCGTCGCTGAGAATCGGGGACGGAGGAGGCGAAGGCCCGTGTCAAGGAGGGGGTTGATTTTGTACCCTTGGTTGCCTGATCGGGGGTTCTGCCCCCGTCGTCCTCGGCTCCTGGACTCGCCTCTCTTTCCTGGTCGGAGACCTTGCCCGCTTCTTGGAAACTATAGGTTGGGGCCTCTCCAGCTGTGGTCGGCGACCTCGTGGATGAGGTGACGGACTCCTCGAGTTCTCGTGCTACTCTTCTCGCGGAGGGGAGCGGGACGGGGCCTCGTGTTCCAACGCGTCAATGCCCTGATTCTGTTGGAACACCATCTGATTTGTCTGGTTAATGGCCGCGAAAAGGGCGACCATCGTCGGGTCCGCTTCGCCCGGAGTGGGGATGGGCTGGAATACTGTTGGGCTCCTTACCCGAGGAACGATCTGGTGCGGCGCTTCCTCGGAAGAAGGGGAGGAAGTCTGGCCGTCCCTCGCGTCGGTCTCGTGGAGCTGAGATGTTCCCACTTGGTTGCCGCCGTTGGTGACGGGGACATGGATTGAATTGTGAACATCGTCGTCCCAGTGTGGACTAGTCATGATCATAGTGTTGAGAGGTGAAACTTTGGTTCGCTGCTCGGAGGAACAGGGAAGTTTAGTTTCCCACAGACGGCGCCACTGATCTGACCTGATCAGAAAGGGATCAATAACCTGCCACGCGTCGTTGATCTGCTGCATGTTCACCGGTGGTAAGAAGGAGGAGGGGGTTGTACCCGCAAGACACTCCAATGCCAAAATGAGAAAGGATCAGAGTGAAGCAAATACAGAGAAAAGGTTGAGAATTGAAATAGGGTATTTATAGAGAGACTCCAGCGCAAGGCCAACAATCACTTGTGTTGGGCTGGATTGTCAGGCCCAACCCAGGTGACTGCTAGGGCTTACATGGCGTAGTGAGGACCAGTACATGGTTTTCGCCCTAGTTCAACCGTCCCGTGATCTGTGAAAGGTGGGTTGACCAGCTCTTTCGGAGTGGGTGGTTGGCTGACGACGTGTCCCCGCGGAGGGGGCACGTGGAGAACGCGTGGAGGACACATTGTTCTACTCGACGGAGGGAAGGTTCTACCTGCAGAGGGCAGCGTCTGCTCGACGGAGAACTCTTGCGCTCGACGTAGGTGATATGGCCTTACTTGGGCTTTCCCAAGTATCATTGAGCTGGACCCGCCCGGTCAAGCCGGAGTCCAGACTAGAACACTTTCAAAACTCAATTCACCTATATTTCTTCCAAACAAAACTCTTTTGATGCAAAGTGAGTTTTTTTTTTTAGAATTTTAATTTTTTTTTAATTTTATCAAGGAGTATTATTGTGATGCTTATCAGATATTTCAAATATTAAATAAATATGAAAAATTAATATTTGTTTATAATAGTGAGCGAATAAGTGTATTGTTTAAATAAAAGTTATCTGGTGGCTCTTAATTAAAATTTGAAGTTTAATAAAAATCTAGTTTGATCATGGTGTTTATTGAAGTTGATCTTTTTGTTGTGGTTAATGCTCTTGACAAGAAACATATCTCTATCGACATCTACGATCTATTTTCAATGATTCGCAGTCAAAGTTGAGGCATTTAGATTGGCAATTTTCCATTTATATTGTAGAATCATGATTCCAATAAATATGTTTGTTTCTTAATGTCTCCTATCATTCGACTATTTATACTTTTTCCCATTAGATATCTTCGAGAAAGTGATTGTCTTTGTTTCTGCTCGAAAATTTAAATTCCTTTTTCATTAAAAAGAATTTGCTACCAATTCATTTTTTCTTTAAATTCCATATTTGACAATAAAAGATCTGTTTATTTTAGCTTTAAAAAATATTTTTTTTTTAAAAATAGATTTTGTAAAATTGTTTTTTAAAATATTACAAATTTTTTTATATTCATTTTTTATAAATTATAAGACTAATTTTGACATCATACAAAATAAACATACATTATTGAAGATTAAAACATAGTCGAAATAATATTTTTTTTAAAAAATTGTATCTTAAAATTGATTTTTATAAAAATATATTTAAAATATCTTCAAAATTAAGTAATTTTTTTTAAAATTTTGATATCCAAAATTTTTTTCATCTAAAATCACATTTTAAGAATATCTATTTAAATTAATTTATCATTTAAAATTTTTATAAAAAATTTCTTTGTAAATTTTTTTTTGCAAAATTATATTACACTGTTGAACTCTTTTTTTTTTTAAAGTCAAAACAACCGGTGCAATATCAATTAGATTAAAATATCAATCTTACAATATTCAAGTTAATTGATTAAATCTTACAAGTTTCCCTTCTTATATAAGGGATTGACGATCTAAAGTTGGAACGAGAATGGAACGAAAAATATTGAAAAAATAGTTTAATTGAGCTTAAACTTTTATATAACAAATATTATATGAGAGAAATATGTAAAGCAGAGTGGGTTGGTATAGACGGCATTAAAAGATATGGGGTGCATTAAGCACGTCTTTTAGCCCAACTACCACGCCCTAGTCCATTCTTCTCAAATGCTTTGTACAATTGAAAAGGACTTTTCATAATATGATAGAATATAGTTTAAAAAGAAAATCGAATCAAACTAAATTAAATTATATTAAAAATTTATTCAAATTAAACCGAATTATTTTAATTTATTCATGACCGAACTAAATCATAACTATTGGTTTGATATACCAATTTGAAATTCTAAATTATATTAAATCGTTAGAAATTAAATTTTTTAAAACCGAACTATTTATTAAAAAAACAAAACGGTTAAACTATTTTTAATTTATTTTAAAAAAACTAAAACTTACTTTTAGTATTTTTTATTTATTTTCAGTTTTAGTTCAGTTTAGATATAGTTTTGATTTGGTTCGATTTCAATTTTAATTTTAATTTTAAAATTATTTGTGTAATATGGCTTGGATGACTGATCAAACACAACATTTTAACTCCAATCAGTTATTAGTTCATATTTTTTTTAAATACCTACAATTGAATACATGTTTTTAAATAGGGAGTCTTAAAGAACAAGAGAAATTAAAACAAATGCTCTTCCACATTATTATTTATTACCATTTTAAATAAAAATAAGAACAATGGTAAATTCAAGTCATGTGTAGTTCATTCAAAGTGATCCAAAATTCATATTACACACAATTATTATTACTAGACCCATGATAACAAACATGGTACTAACACTTGACACTTCACACCCACCTATCCACTTATTTAATATTAAGAACTCAACACAACAAGAGGTATGAAATTTGCAAAACACACATATAAAAGGTGAACACTACATTATTAGTATAATAGTAATAAACTATATGATATAAAACTTAGGCAGCATTGACGGCAATTTTCATCCCAGACTGGCAGTGACCATTATAATTGCAGATGAAATAGTTTTGTCCCCTAGCCAGCCTGATCTGATCCTTCCCTGATCGATACACTTTGGCTCCTCTTGGTGTGCTGCAGTTGTCATATGCTGCTTTGTTCACAGCCACCACATTGTGAGCTCCAGGACTATAGTTGAAGACTGCAAAAACATAAAAAAAAATGATAAATTAGTTATTATAATTAAATTAAGATAAAATACTGAAGTAAGATGGCTGAGTGGGCTAAAACATCATACTATAACTGTCACAATTGTTAATGTTATTGATAAATAATTTTAGTAATAGAAAGATACTACATAATACCTAGTGTGTCTCCGGCTCTAAAGCGTTTTCCGTTAGGCCAGGCAACAGTGTTAAAGGTCCAACCTCCGTTACCTCCAACAGTGAAGGTAGCAGCATGAGCGAATTCAGAGTTAAGAACAAAAAAGCAGACTAGTAGAACCAATGCACTGCCTCTTCCCAAAGCCATGTTTTCTAGTATAGTTTTTGCTAGAAAACTGTGAAGGAGATTGAGATAGAGGTGAGTGAAATTGGAATGATGTGGGAAGGGTTTTATAATTGAGGAGTGAGTGAAGAGGGCTGCCTGCAAGAAATCTTAATGGGTGGTTGGTTAGAAAGTAAATGCCTTCGCAGAGTACTCATAGACAAGACGCGTGGGTCTGCCCAAACTCATTATGGAGTATTTCATGATAACTCATTATCATTTTCTTTTAAAATATTCATATCAATGAAACAAAACTTGATTTATGAGTTTATTATTTATTATGTTTATATAGCTAGGAAACTAATTTATAGCCAATATTTTTAGAGTTGATGATTTATAAATTAATTGATAGTTTATAGTTGAGTTGGATTAACAATTGAATCAAAAGTATGTAGATTGCTGATGTGATGTTGAATATGTTTTTGTAAGGAACAAGTTGTAATTTGAAGAAATGGAAATATACATGAATTCATATTTTTATAAACATCTAAAAAAGAGAAAGAAAATTTTAAATTTATTTAAAATTTAATTTTTCTTTAATTAGAATCAAGGGTTGTTGTGATATGAAAAAGAGAGAAAATTTTATTTTTAATTTTTAATTAATAAAAAAATCGTGATTGACTGTATATATAACTACGTGTATTATCAAAGAAAAATCGGATTATTAGGTCATGTCACTTTTCTCTAAGGCATTGGAGTGCACTTGTGTTTATTTGTATTCCTAAGAAAAAATTTGGTCGTTGATTTGTAACTTTATGTTTTTCCTTTGATCTAGCATGTTGCTCACTCTCCTATGTATAAAGTTCTCTTAATTTTTTTTTGGAACTTTTTGTCATTTATTAGAGTCATTTTCCCTTTATGAAAGTGATTTTCTTCCTTCTCAAGAGCATTTTCTCGAGCGTCCATCTTTTTCAAACAAAGTTTTTCCTTTTTGCATTTAATTTCTACCTTCTTCATTATATTATATTCTCTTCGGGTACCTTTCTTAACCTAAATTTATTCCTTTGCATCTAATTTTTATTTTCTCATGGCTCGTGCAAATAATCACCATATAAGTCTATCTAGTGATTCTTCCCCTTTAGATAGAGCAGAAACATCTTCTAGTTCAAATTCTCATCGTCCAATTAACAATTATACAGTTCCAGTCATTATAATCGTGTCTGATAGTTTTGAGTCGGAGAGGTTTGTAAGTGGTTTTCTTGATGGAGAAACTTCCCTTAAGGAGTCTTCCTTTGACGCTCTATTTTCTAATAACAATGTCGGAGGTGATCGTGCAGTCAGTTCCGCGGCCGCTCCATCCATAACTATGAGAGATTTAACTTTCCATGCTTTGACTACACCAGAGATGGAAGGTTATGCCTTGAACATGGAAGAAACTTGAAATTTCATCAAGACTTACCATATTATTTATCGTTGGGATCCAAGTAATGTCGAGATTAAATAACATTTGGTGTGTGGGACTCGGCTTGATGATTTCGATTGATTCAGGCCATTCGATATCTTTCTGACTAACAAGATACCTCTAAAGAGTATTGAGCTAGTGGAACCATTTGATGCGAGCAAGTACACTTGGGTGAACTCTGAAATATTGGGAATCCTTTTTTCTTTAAATAATCATGTAGTCATAAGGGAAGCTAATATTGAAGTAGGTAGTCCTTCTCATTGGCCAATTCTCTTTGTGGAGTCAAACAAAAGGATATGAAGTAGATTCAGGGAGTGTTCCATTCCTTTTTAAGAATTCCTGTTTACTCAGATAAATCGGTGGTTTCCTTTTTCTGAGTTTGAAGTTAAGGTGTTGAGGTTTTTGAAGGTTTCCCCCTTGCAACTTCATCCTGATACATATGCTTTTATAAGGGCGTTCCAATTCTATGCCAATTATCAGTCTTTGAAGCTCTTCTAACGTCTTTTATTCCTCTTGAAATAATATTACAGATCAAAGGTTCATCACATTGTGTTAAGAAGTTCCTAGGTGTAGCCTTTTTGCCGAGATTTGAGATGATTTCCAGAATCCCTTCGTCCTAGTAAGGCCCTAGACTCAGGGGGGGCATTCCATCTTTTATCAAGTTTCTAATAAGCTTCCTCTTTCTACCGAATGTCATGGCTTCCCCCCTCGTCCGTGCACAAATAGGCTTCTAATGTATTGGACTTTATTCCATTTCAAATAGGCTTCTAATCTCTTCGTCCTAGTATGAGAATCTTAGTTATAATAAGGGGTTTGTCATTAATGAGGTAAATGCTTCTCTGCAGGAAACGATCCATCGATGCCTATGTTATTGTGAGTGTGGCTAGTAGTTTAGAGCGAAAGAAGATTTTTGGTGAGCATGAAGTCTTCCCCTCATAGGTTTTTTGATATGGGTTTTTTTTTCCAGATAAAATGAATGCCTTGAAGAAGGTCTTTGACATTGCTAAAGAGCAGGAGGTTAAATATGCCACTATCATTTCTCTAGCTCGGACTCCTACTATTCCCCAAGTTGGTCATATAATATCCGTTATTATTGGACCCCCCGGTCTCCATGGTCTAGGCCATCCTTCTCCCGGGGTTGTTGCTGCAGTTGTTGAGGATCAGGTTTGGTCCCTTCCAACTAATAACAAAAGGGACTAAGACTAGGATCAGAGTCCTCCCTTGGAGAGAGATCTGGCTAAATAGGCCCATTTGTCTAGGGTGTTTCTTTCGGGTCATCCACTCCTCTATTCAATTTGTCGAATATTTTTCCATCCTGGATTCCCCCACACTTCTTAGGAGAAACTTCGCGCGATCTCTGAAAAGAATCTTGCTTATCTTCAGAACCTTCCTTAAGCAAAGAAGATGTAACTATTCTTATAGGCCACTTTCTACAATTACAAGACTGCTTAGGTATTTTCCCTAGTCTCCTGGACTATACCGCCTATGCTCTTAGAGTGACTAGTTTCTAAGATATGGTGCACCCATTTCTCTTTTACTGCATTCCTCCTAATGTGATCTTGTTTCATAAACACAATCTATATCATATTGTCGAGGATTATAATATTATCTATGTGTACAACATTTCTTTTAAGTAAAATATTTATTTATTTGAACCTAGATGAATCTTTAGAGATACTTATGTTATGCGCGGATGAGATTGACATGTGTCTAAGAACAATCAACATGAGGTACGCGCATGATCATTTGGCGATCAATTTTACCTTTGAAGGGATATGAGTCAATGGATTTTATTTCCACGACTTCTTATTCTCTCTATGATGAGTCGTGAGGGTCGACTCTTACATGTTTTCGTATCTGGTGTTTCGCTTAAAATCACAAGCTAACATTTTATAGGGTTACCACTTTCCTAGTGTTGAGGTGAGTTGCTTAGATTTTCAAAAATAGGTTTTGTACCAGTTGACCTCAAATATGCACCATTGCGGGTAGGAGGTTTTGTCCACTTTGGTTGTGAGAATCCTCACAGCTTTGTCCTTCAGAAAAGGTGCCTCGTTGGCTTGAATTGTCATGTGTGTCTGTTCATTTGGCCCAATGGTAGTAGTAGATTTGGCCAATATATTTCCTTTCATAGGCGGTCTATGAATTTGCTGGATCCACATAACTTTCTTTCTCCTTCTATTTCAGTCAGTGTGTAGAGGATATACTTTTATGTTCATATCAAACAATATTCGGATCTTTCAAACTTCCAATGTAGATTGAGTTTCTCAAAGCGGTACAACATATCGCCATGATGAAAGAATCTTGAATTTGCGACAAAGATTCGTTTCTCCAATCGCGATAACGTAAATTCGCATAATCTTTCGGTTTCCATTTCGGATAAGGTGAGATCTGGTGATAACGAAGGGATCGTCCTCATCCTAAGGTTTTTTTTCATCCGATTATTCTTAATTACAGTAATCAAAATTAGTAGTTGGATGAGGGAAGATGGAAGAGATGTATTCCACCGCAAGTTTGGGAATGAAATGAGCTTCAGATGTGATATTTTAATAATTTAATTTTGGATCAAACAAGATTTGATCATGAAATTTTGCGGAAATTCAATATTAATTTCCACAGACAAAGCTATTATTCCGCACGAGAAATATAATTGATGTTGATTAACTATGTTGGACTCTTGAAGCTGTGGTGTTGATTTCTGATGTGGTGGCTAACATGTAACGTGAAACAATATTTTTACTCCAAATTAAAAACCCTAACTAATTTCTTTCAACTAAATTTCAAATTCACATAATCAATAACTTTGTTCTTCACCAATGCGTTGAATTTGCATAATCTAACTTCTAGTTCATTCATCTAAGTGGTAGGCACGAAGATGAAGTGTTATGTTATAAAATGCAATATCTTTTTGTAATGTTGTTTCATTAAAATGATATCGAATAAACAATTATATATAAAAGACTAATTAGCTATTAAAAGAATATAAAAAACTAAGCCATTACTAATATTAACTTAAAGGATAGTAAAATGTATTTTGATCTTAAATATACATAAAAACAAACTAAAGAATCTTGAATTTACCCCAAAAAAAGTAAAAGCTTTAACGTAAAATGCTTAACATAAAAGCCTAAATTCATGCTTTCGAAGAGGCACAAAATATGGGTGTCTTCATAACACATTTTCTCTTTTTTTTGGTATAAAAGTCTTCGACACATTAATTCAACCCATAATGATTCTAGAATGTACTTTATTTGCCCAAGTTGTTGTTGTTAATTAAGGTAGCAATCAATATATTATGCTAAACATGATGATAGTGGTTCAAGTTAAACTCCACTAAATATGGCAAAGTTTTTAAATGTCAATAAGTGGATGTAGCTTTAAATTTGGTTTTCGGGCACCGCTTCATATACGTCTATGTCTAACTGACTCATTGAAACCAATTGTCAATATGTGCCAACTCTCCCCACCATAACATAAATTTCCTTTGAAGTGTCATACAAGAAGGTACATTAATAAATGTTGGTGGTTGACTTGGACTTTTACTACTGACACTAGATCTTTTAGTCCACGAAATGGGCTAGGGATT